CCACTGAATTCCTCAAAAACTAGCATACATTAGCAGGAGATTATTCTCTATGAAATGAATTGTTCACGATGGCATCATACTTCACTATATTTAGCTCATGTGTCCATTAAACTAAAAGCACTGAGTTTGCGATCAGCGCGAAAAATGAACCGACCATTCAACGACATTTTTGTAATGAAGCAAAAATATCGCTCAGACTGAGGCAGAACAAGGCCTGCTCGTGGCGAAAGAAGCTTTCTGAATGGCGAAGAACGCCCTTTCTCTGCTGCGCGATCTTCGTTTGGTACTGAATTTTATGCATCAATTGAAGAAAGTCAAACCTCTTTTGCACCGTATGCTTTGAGCATGCGAACAATTTTTGCCATCGTATTTCCTCGAACGATCGAGTCATCGACCAATATAATCCTTTTACCGATCACATTCTCGCTGATAACACCGAATTTCTTCAAAACCACTTTTTGTCTTAACTCGGTACTCGGCTGAATGAACGAACGACCCACGTAGCTATTTCGATGCAAAACTTGTTCATATCGTATACCGCTCTAGAATTCATTGCTTTTATATCCAGCCTCTTCTGCAGTTCAGTTCATAGAATGCACTGAGAAATTGGGACAAACAAAAGATTCGTTATGCGTAAATGATACAGACTTTGAAGAAGAATTTAAAAGCTCGAGTTCATCAACATTTGAACTGTGAAGTGTTTTGATCTGAAATTGTCACAAAGTATTAGATGAGCGTAATGATGAAATATCGCTACCTGTTTTGCGAAACCAATTGAGGCGGCTGATGCTGAGTCTGGTACGGTGCTAACCACATCGGCTTCGATGTACGATTCATCGGCCAAGATACGACCGCATTCTTCGCGAACCGACTGAACTTGCCGACCTGCGAAATACGCCACGGAATCTTGCATATTCATCACCATAACACATAAGAATTCTTACGTATTTATTTGTATAATTTAAGCTTCTAATGCAACATCTAGCACATAAAAATCACTCACCTCCTATAATGGAATCAGCACGTGCGAAATAAACATATTCGAAGATACAAAATGATGGCTTTGCTGAGTGCATCTGTAAATGAATCGATGAATACAACATTCACTTCAGCTTATAAGGCATACTCAATGTTTTTAACTTTCAGCTGACACATGAACCGATCATTTTTGTGGTCATCAACCTATCAATGAGTGCTATGATCGGAGATCATAATTTCAAGTGATGCGTTGGAGTCATTTGTAGAATCACTTGTCTGATATTTTGTAATCATAGGCATAAGTTGATTGATCAGAGATTTTGATACTATCAAATTTTGAGAATGATTCGCCTAATATCCCCTTTGAATTTGAAACCTAACTGACTATTCTCAATATGGCGAAAAGAGCCACTGAAAATTGTGCATTGCCAATCTTTTTGACTCAGTTAAATTCGACTCAAATACGGCTACTGATATTTTCTCAGATCTCAGCATCGGTATTGCCATCAATCCCACCGAATATTTGCGTCAGCTGGATTCATCTAGTTATATCGCGAAGAAAGAGGTACCTGGAAAATCGACCGAATACCATGACGAGAGATTTCGACGATTTCACCAGCCTTCACCTCACACTTCACTTCAGCAATCGACTGAATCGCACACGTCTCTGATGCAGCAACAAACGCAAACGGTTTTCGAGTTGATCCTGAAAGGTCGCACTTGTAAACATTACTTCTATCTTATCAATACATGCATTGCTTCATTTGCTCCAAGAGCAACACCTCAAAGACTTTTTTGCAAGGGTAGGCCGCCCGGTCAGAAGAGTAATTTTCTGCCGGAATTCATAGATACTGATTATCTGACCGTGACTAGCCGTAATGAAATTCGATTACTGTTATTCGAGCAAAACAATGAACTGTATTGGGTTATATTGCAAGGCTAAAATGAGTAGGAACCATTATGTGATGAATTCGACGCGTGTATAGTGCCAACACAAAGTGGTCGATTGCCGTACGGATCGCGAAGGGCATAGATCCGATCGTAAGTCATCACGAGTAATGAATACGACATCGATATCGAATTCATTGTTGCGATTAACTCCTCGAAAGATTTGACATTTTCAACATCGACAAACTATTGATGAGT